TCTGACCCGGGCGGGATGGGCCTCTGTGTCCCCTTCGCCTCTCTGCGGAGGCTGCGGGTGGTTCTGCCCCGCTCGTCAGACCTGGGAAGTTGTAACATGTCCGCAAGTTTCATTCGCGTTCAGTGGAAGAGTCATGATCCAAAGATACTCGCTTCCTAAGAGCTGACGGAAGGCGTGAAGAAAGATTTACGTGCTTTTTTTGAGGGGTTCAGGCATTTCTGACATCAGGAACATTGTCTGATGATGTGGATCTGCAGGAGAGCATCTCTGTCTTCAGGGAACAACCTGGGTACCTTGTGTGAAAGCCAGGGAGGATGTGGGGAGACAGCAGTGAGTGAAGGCTGATCTTCCTGTTCACGTGTCTATAATCATACCCAGGAGCCAGGCTTCAGAGGGGATTTAGCACTGGAAGGTGATGGACTTGTTGCTGATCTTCTGCTGTTGCCCTCTTGGATGAACAATTGTATCCTGGTGCCTCACGTGGCTGTTCTAATCTACCTTTCTGTTCCATCACTCCCTGTGCTGATTTCTTGCTGCTCTTTCTTGAGTTGCTAACGCTTTTCCTCAGCTTTTGCATTTGTTTGGAGCCTGGTTCAAGATTGTTCTAGTCTGAGAAACAGTCACTGAATGTTTGTGCTCTTTCTTCAGTCACTGCCTCTCTGCTCTCTCGCTGTAACAGCAAGTATGAAGAGCTAGTGAAGACGGTTGGTTGTGGAGACATCTGGTTGTAACAAAAAACTCTTAACAAGCATTGTTCTGTTATCCTGCTGATGCAGCTTCTGAACAGAGGTCAGCTGTGGACTATGCAGTTTCCAAACAACAAAAACCTTCTCCAGAGTCGAGTCTGTCCTGCTGACATCCAGGCTGTACTGGTCTTGTGAGCTATGGTGGCCAGAGTGTGCAGCTTTGTGCTCTGCACTCAGGTTTGCAGTAACTTTAATGTTGATGGTGACTGCACTGCTGTTCAGCTGTTGGGAAAGACAGTGCCTGGAAGGATGGTGTCTCCTCTGTCTTCATCAGCATGGTAGTGTAGTTCCCTGGATTCTCTCCATGTTTTCAAACTTTTTTTCTATGTAGCTGCAGTTCTGTGGCTGTGGTATTTGGGAAGCAGAATGCAGCCTATGAAATACCTGTAAAGTGACCTGTTGTGGGGGTAATAGCTTCCTTGCTAGGGATTCAAACTTCTGCCTTTGGGGTTGTTAGGTGGACTCATTGCTCTCCCCGAGGCCTCTCCCCGGCCTAGGAGGACCCCCCTAGCAATGAAGGCAGGTTTATTGTGGGGTGGAGCGTAAAATGTCTATTTTAAAGCAGATTGGCTCTTTTTCAGTTGGTGTCTACCTTCTGCCACAAGACTTCATCTTTGGAGAGGATGGAGGAGGAAGGTGACGATGAGGAAGATGATGAATTGGACATCTTCGGGGGTTATGACAGCTTCCGGGGCTACAACAGCAGCATGGGCAGCGACAGCAGCTCCTGTCTGGATGAGTCTAGTGATGATGAGGTGGTAGACCGGGAAGCTGGAGAGCTTCCAACCTCTCCTGTGCACCAGCCATCCACAGGCCGCCTCACAGAGGACAGCGGCTCTGAGCCAGGTACTGCCCTGCCTGCCTGTTCTACCTAAAGCACGTGTGTGATGAAAAGAATGAGGGCTGGGGGAAGCCAAAGGACATGTGACTGCATCTTGAGTATGCTTTGAGAGCAACACTGCATTGAGACTGCATTTTCTGGGCTATGTGGGGGAACTGCTATGTGTAATAAGGATTACCTGGGCTCAGCTCTGTCCTTGTAGTGTATCGACCCTGCCAACTGCTCACATTTTTGTGCCTTCCTTCTCTCAGCTGTGTGCGAGATGTGTGGGATTGTGGGCACCAGGGAGGCTTTCTTCTCCAAGACCAAACGTTTCTGCAGCGTCTCCTGCTCCAGAAGCTATTCCTCAAACTCCAAGAAGGCCAGCATTCTGGCCAGACTGCAGGTGAGTCAAACCCCTTCCTCCTTCCTCTTCTGTGCCACCAGCATTCCTAACCTTCCTTCTTTTGTAGGGGAAGCCACCAACAAAGAAAGCTAAAGTCCTGCACAAGGCAGCCTGGTCAGCCAAGATTGGGGCCTTCCTCCATTCGCAGGGCACAGGGCAGCTGGCAGACGGGACACTGACAGGCCAGGATGGTGAGTGTAGGGGGTGTGAGGAAATGCAGCTACTGGAGCCACAGAAATGGGGACACCTGGAGGGCTGTAAGCTGTACAGTCTACGCTTCCTCCCCTCTGGTACACTGCCTTGTACTGAAACAATGTGTGTGGATCACTCTGACACAGGCTGGCAGGACACAGGGCACTCCCAGGTGCTAGTGGAGCCCTGGTGGGTTCCTTCCCCTCCACTACTGCAGCCTCATCCTTGCTCCTGGTGCAGCTTGGCCTGTAGTGCAGCATAAGCTCTGTAGTCATAGTCCCATGAGGTGTTGACTTCTGCTGGCAAAGTTGACTTAAAGGTGTCCTGCTGCTGCCAGTCGTTCGCTGCCCAAATGCCAGTGGAGTTATATTTAACCTGAGTCACTCACTGATTAACTTGAGGAACAACCAGTCACTGTAGCTGAAGGAGTAGCAAGCTGCTGTGTTAGAGCAAAAGGGGATCGCAGTAGGAATTGCTCCCCAGGCAGACTGCTGCTGGAGCAGAGCAATAGCCTTGGATCAGGAGTGACTATGGGATTAATATCCCAGTGCTTCACTCTGATTTTCCTAGCACCCTTTAGGGAAGCAAGTGCTGCTGATATGAGCCTGCAGTGTTGCTGCCGAGAGGCAAAGCTGCTAAGTGGTTTAGGACTGAGAGGATGTGGTCTCCACTCTCCCTGGAGTGCTTGAGCCCTGCACTGGATTTGACCCTTCTTTTGCCCCTCCTGCCCTCCCTTCCCCAAAAGCAAGTGACAGCAAGGATTGGTTAATAATATATTGTGCCTCTTGTGGGGGCTGGTCTCTGTGCACTTGTAGGATCCTGTTCCCCACCAGGGAAAATGCATTGGAACGCAGAGTCCCTGTGTGCTGGGGGGAGGGCTCTGTCCCAGAGCAGGCCACAGTGTGGCTGCAAGCTGTAGTCCAGACGTAACTGAGCACTCTGTGCCTTTTCTATAATCCCACCTGATTTTCTTCTCTCGTGTCTGCTTGTAGCACTCGTCCTGGGCTTTGACTGGGGGAAGTACCTGCAGGAGCATGGCTTCAAGGCAGCTCCTGTCAGCTGCTTCAAACACGTGAGTTCTTCTTTGCTGTGCCTCGCTATGTGCATGGGACATGTCATATGCGTGGGGCTGTCCTGTGCCCTTGTGACAGGTGGTGGGGAGAGACCTGGGGAACTGGTTATTAAGCCCCAGCTGATACGAGGAAAAAAAGTTGGAGCTTCTCACAGATAAGAATGGAGTCCCACAGCGAGACCAGGAGTTTTAGGGGAGGAAGCAGAGCGGGACTTGGTAGAAACCCTGCAGGTGGTGATGGCCCAGTGCTGGCTGGGGACAGAATTAGTTCTGATGGGGGTATAGCAGAAAGCTCCTGGTTGCCTTTGCAGTTTGTGTGGGTGAGCACAGCCCAGGGTGATGTGCAGGGGGGAACTTCACTTATGTGGGCCTGGCAGTAGCTGCCCCCTCCAGCACATCTGGTTCCTATCATACTGATTTACAACCCTTGTGGGCCAAGTAGCCGAGGCAGATATGTGGAAGAATGGCAGTTCTTGGGTATTATAGCAGCCCCACCCTCTCTGTGTATTAAGACGCACTTGTGATGTTCCTTTTGAGTTGTGATCTGTGATAATACCAACAAAATTTTCTTTTTCTTGAGGATAGGTCAGGAAGACACGGCAGTTAGATGGTTAGGGATTTTGATATGGTAGAGGAATGGCAGCAGGTACTTTGGGGTAATAGGACAGCTGGCAGTGAAATAGTTAAGTGTTGCTGTACAATGTTCTGCCTCTTGGGATCCTCTGTGAACACCCCAGTGAGATGCTGGGACAGGTTGGTTTCGTTTCAAGCTGTTGACACACATAGGAAGGGTAAGGCACATAAACCTGGGCCTAAAGTGAAAGTGTAACGCCTAAAACGTTATCTCTGAAAGCTAGAATGAGGGTCTGAGCCCTGCTTTAACTGTTAATGTCCCTCTCTCAACATGGCTGCCTCAATCCTTCAGGTGCCACTCTTTGATCAGTGGGATGATGTGGTGAAAGGTATGAAAGTGGAAGTGCTGAACAGTGATGCCGTGCTCCCCAGCCGTGTGTACTGGATTGCATCTGTCATCCAGACTGTAGGTATGTCTCCAATGTAATTCCTGACAGCTGGGGATGGCTAACCTCTGAGGGGAGCTTTAGGGAGCTGAGTGTAGCTGGTTGAGCAAAAGGTCAGCTCTTTGGATCTATGCAACTGCTGAGAGATTTTTGGAACAGGAAATTTCACGGTGTGGGGGTGGGAAGAAACCAGCATCTGGTTCCTCTTCTGGTTGCTGGGCTCTTTGAAAGGATGGTTCTGCCTCTAGAATGGCTGGAGAAGCTCTGATAGCCTGTGCAGAGCTCTGAAGGCCATGTTGTAGGGACTAAGCCTGTGGTGCCCAACAGGGAGAGGAGAAATTCTTGGCCTCTAATGCCTTTCTCTGGTTGTCTGCTCTGTCCTGGCAGGGTACAGAGCCCTTCTGCGATATGAGGGCTTTGAGAATGATGCTGGCCATGACTTCTGGTGCAATTTGGGCACAGTGGATATTCACCCCATTGGCTGGTGTGCCATCAACAGCAAAATCCTGGTACCGCCTCAAAGTGAGTGTGGGGTGACGGGGGTCAGCATGTGCGTAGGCATGGAGGAGCCTTGGTTTATGCATAGCGCAGTGGGACAGGTGCTCCTGCTGTATGTGGGACCGCAACTCCGCTTGTGGTCTAAGTTACAAAGAACAGTTAGTTCTTCAGGAAGCTGGAGACTGCTTGGACTGCTCCCTTTCCATCTCCCTGTGCTTGACCCTGGGGGTGCTGGATGCAGAACTGGTGTCAGACCTATGGACAGAGGCTAATGCAGGTGGCTGTTCCTCCTTCTGGCCCATACAGTGGCTAGGCTTAACCTTTGGGGGAACTTTTTGGTCCTACATCCTGGACAATGTCTCTGGGGAGCGCACTGGATCCAGTCACTGCTCAGCTAGCAGTTAGGAGAGGGATGTTTAGCAGAATTCTGGCAAGCTGAGGTTTGCTTGGTATGGCTTCCATGGCTTTGCTCTAATACCACTTCCACATCTAGTTCAGTGGAGTTGGGTGTCTGCTTGGCCCAGTCCATTCTTTAAAGATGATACCTTATGGCCTATTATGGGAGCGAGCTCTCGGAACAGGCTCTGCCTAAGAGCACGTACAGGATCTGACTGTGAAAAAGGCATTTTAATGCAGATGGACTCTCGGAGAGAAAGAAAGGTGTAGTGTGGTGCTGTAATTCCTTCAGTCATAAAGATGTGCTTTTTCCCTGTGCGTATATAGCTATCCATGCCAAGTACACTGACTGGAGGAGTTACCTCATGAAAAAACTGGTGGGAGCCAGGACCATCCCAGTGGATTTCCACATCAAGGTAAATGTGGGAGGCTGTCATTTTATGTGTGGAAATGAAGCTGAAGCCAAGAGATGTGTGTGCAACATGTCTCTTCTGGTTCTGATCTGTGCAACTCCTCTGTGTGTCCCCTCAAAACCTGGACAGGACAGGGGCAGCAAGACACCTGTCATGATGCTGTAGGTAATGGCACAGCCCCTACACCCTGTCAGCACAACTGTTTCTCCTTTGGGTCATAGATGGGCTTTAAAAGCTGTTGCCATGTCTACCTCTGCTGGAAAGTACTGGGGATGAGTTTGCTTTTTGCTGAGGGGAGGGGCCAGTGCAGCTCCACCCTGGTCTTTCCTGGCCCTGTTTCAGTGCTGGGGAACAGCTCTAAGAGTCAGAAATCTTTGCCTTCAGTGTTGGTAGCACAGCAGCCTGCAGGGAGTGCGAGGAGCGCAGGCTCCCTTGAAGTGCATGGAAGCAGCTGTGCTGTGGCCTCGCCAGCTTTATAGCTCTTGTGGTTGTTTTGTGGAGCCTGCACTGAGGTTAGACCTTGTTGGGGAGAAAAGACTCTTTTGTCGCTGGCAACTTTGTAAACCACAGGTAAGGAAGACCGTCCCAGAGACAGCAGGCAGGAAGGCAGGTGATGGGTTTTCCTGGGGGGGTGTGTGTGGGGTAATTGGTGAGACAGAGTTGGAGCCCTTGACATAGTTGATGTTTCCCTTGTTGCTTCTCAGAAATTTGAGAGGATGTTCATAGCTACTTGTTCCCAGGCCACAGCTTGTAGCTGAGAGCTCACGCCATGGAAGGGAAGTGGTAGATGGAGACAGTTATTGTCAGTATCTTTCTTCCCCCAGCATCTCCACCTAATGAACAGGAGATGGAAGGGGAAGATCGTCACTTAAAAGTTCTTCAGGATGTCTGAGTCTGTTTTGAGCTGTGGCTCTTAGCTGCTGCACAGTATTCTGGGATCTCCAGTGCCAAAATGTCAGGTGTTCTATAAACACCTTTGGGTATTTGTGGATGAGTAGGGCTAGGCTGTATCAGCAAACTGAAGGTCTCAAAAAAAAAGAAAAAAAAGAAGAAAAGAAAAAAAAGAAAAAAGGAAAAAAAAATCATCAGAAGGCAGCCAGTGTCTTTTTTGATGTGCCTGTGCCTTTGGGTCAGTCTACAGAGTAACTCTGGCATTGGAGGTGGAGTTGGCAGACTGATCGTCATATTGCTCAACCTCTGATCAGAGTAAAAAGGGCCTGATCTCTTTTAAAGTCAACTGAAAATACTATTGCCCTTTGGGAAGCTACACCTCTAGTTGCTCCAGCCTTGAAACCCTTATGGTCTCTTTCATGACTGAAAAAGGCATGCAAAGTGACATCTGTTTCTCGCACTCAGAACACTCACACAAGGTGCTGGCTGAGCATGGCTGCTGGGGAAAGGGTGGGGGTAGCTGTTACAGGGCCACAGGACAGGGGAGACTTAGGGTGCATGTGCCCAACAGTGCTGTCTGGTGTGGGGCTGGCAGCTCCCTGTCCCCCTGATGAACCCACTCCCATGCATCCTTCCTCAGAGGTGTTACCTTTGGGCAGTGTAGGGGCTTGGCCAGCATGTCTGTGGGGAAAGCTGTTCTTTGAAGTGTTTGGATAAGGAGAACACCAAGTGCAATTGATCTCACCTCCTCTGTTGGTGTTGACAGATGGCAGAGAGCATGAAGTACCCATTCCGGCAGGGCATGCGGGTAGAGGTGGTGGATAAGAACCACGTATCCCGGACGCGCATGGCAGTGGTGGACACGGTGATCGGGGGCAGACTGAGACTCCTCTATGAGGATGGTGACAGTGATGATGACTTCTGGTGCCACATGTGGAGTCCCCTCATCCATCCTGTGGGCTGGTCACGGAGGGTGGGCCACAGCATGAAGAAGACAGGTAGGGATCAGGCCACCACAAGTATCTTCTGATTTGCTATGAGATGCCTGGACCCTGCTGTTGACACCAGTCTTGACATGCTGGGAGATAATAGACAGATAAGATCTACGCGGTTGTCTGTCTGCTGCTTTTCCCCTGCATAGATAAAAGCCCACCGATCAGCTGCCATAGATCGGGAGAGGGGGACTGTAGGGTTTCTTACCTGAAGCAGGTAGTCTGTCCTCACTGTGTGAGAATGCAGTCTGCAACATCACAGGTGTTTCTAGGTTTTTTGAGGAAATTCGTGCTGGCTTCCTTAAGACTGGATGCCGTCAGATTGTGGTTTTTTTCTGGGCTTTACAGAGAGGAATTCTTGATCAGCTTAAGACTGGCAGAAAAAACAAGACTTAAGTCCTGCTGATCCTTTTGATTGTGTCTCCCTTTGCTGCCTCTCCCTGGTGATTACAGCTGCATGCAGAGGTGTTATCATTAGCACTCAAAGATCATCCATCTGCTTTTGAGCAAGCCCTGCATCACAGCCCATGTGGTGGGAAGGTGTAGAGGGACTGACCTGTTTTTTACTCTTCTCATGGTCTCTGATATAGCTCTTTTATAGCTGCTGAGCTCTCACCAGATAATTAATAGCCAGTGTGTTTTCTTACTGCAGTTGCTGCAAGTTTTTTATCTTAGTTTCTTCCATTCCTCACAGAAGAAAAGCGCAGTGACATGGCAAACCATCCCACCTTCCGGAAGATTTACTGTGATGCTGTCCCCTATCTGTTTAAGAAGGTAGGACAAGTCTGCCTTTCTGTGTTGACCACAGCAAAGGAACGAATGATACCACTTCCTTCCTTGGGTATATGTGCTGCTGCATGGGTTGTGGAGGATGACTCGTTTGTCTCTCTTACAGCTATAGGGCAGTAAGGTGTTTGGGGTGTCAAGGCTGTGGTTGGGCCAGGGCAGGTCAAAATAGAAAGATGGAAGAACTAAAAGACAATGACAGATTGAGGTATTCAATTGAAGGGCAAGCAGTTGCTTAGAACTTTTGAGTTGGAGAGCGAAGATGATTGCATGGGAGAGACCAGTTCAGACAAGGGGCTGGATCATCCTGGTGAGGACTGTAATGAGGAGGCTTGCTTTGCTGTGGAGCAGCAGGCTGAGTGCAGGGCCCAGCTCTCTGACTGACTACAGCCTTGGCAGGAGATTGCTGACACAAAGACAGCATTGATTTGGCTGCCTCTTTGTATTTCTTGTAATTTCTTTCCCCTCCCAACTTGGGTTGAGCCAAGAAGCTCTAATCCTGTCTGCACTTGGCGTGGTTGGTGTCGGGATGGAACTGTTCCGTACCCCTGACAGCACATGGTACACCAGAGTCTCCCTTAGGTACGAGCTGTCTATGCTGAAGGTGGATGGTTTGAGGAAGGCATGAAACTGGAGGCCATTGACCCCCTGAATCTGGGCAACATTTGTGTGGCCACTGTTTGCAAGGTAAGTTCAGTGGGCAGAAGGGGGTATATGGTTTACCTGAGATAACCAAGCCTCTCCTCAGGTCTTTGCAAATGAATGAGACCGAGTGGGATTTTGCATGAGGGAGAGGAAGGAGCTGTCAAGAGAGGGAGGGGGCTGGTGTGTGGAGGGAATTGGGGCATTCCCTCACTGGTCTGAGAAGCTCATGAGACCAACAGTTGTGCACGTGTGCCTAAGTGGACAACATGAAGATGAACATGCTTGGTCTGCAAGCTAATTGTCCAGTGTGTGTGACTGGCAGCCACCCTTTCTTCACCCTTGGCCATGCAGTAGGGAAGATTTGTTCCCAAGTTCTTGGAGCGCATAAAGAGAGGCCTTGTAGTGCTGCATTGAGGAGAGAAAGGAGAGGGGAAGAGTTGTGGGGTGACCTCTGGGTGGGGATTGGGGTGTATCTGTATGAACAGCATTCACTGATGTAGGAAGCTGAGGTTGGACATGCCTCCTGCAATCTCTCTTGATGAGGTGGCAGTGAGCTCTACTCCTGTGTTAGTGTTGGGAAGTAAATTGCTTGATCAGGTTTCTTCAGTGAGGTGTGTTGCATGTTCTAAAGTACAGCATCACCTTGAGCTTTTCTTGCTTCCTCAAGAAGCTGCTTGCCTTCATAGAACCCAAGCAGAGGACTTTGATGCTTGAGGTTTGGCAGGGGGATGCTAGGAAAGCTCTTTGTGTCTGTAAATCTTTCCCTTCAGCCATTGCTTGGAAATGTGAAGAGGTTGGGGCAGACATGCTTATCATGTTTGGTAGGCACCAATTATCAGTGAGTGACAGGATGGGACAAGTGTTGTCACTGTTCAGGAAGTGGCACGTCTGAAGGTGGTGCCCTTCCGTTCTGCCCAGAAACAAATTCATGACCTGGCTGGTGTAAAGGGTCTCTGGGCTGCCAATAAAATGAGGGAGAACAGAGCTCCTGGCCATTTATGGCTGAGTCCTTTTCACAAGGCTATTGGTGTTGGTCCCAGTCCTGCAGAAATTGCTGCTTTGGGGATTAACTTGTGTTGACTAACATATCAGGAGAAGCTACTGCATGCCCTGGAGCATATAACATTGCATTTTACTATCTAGTGGCAATTGTTTTCCATCTGTGAGGGTTCTTGGGAGGATCCTTTGAGAGGAGAGGCTTTAGAGCAAGCGAAGCTCTACACTCATGCCCTTCACTCCCATCTCAGGTCCTCTTGGACGGGTATCTCATGATCAGCATTGATGGAGCCACGTCTGCCGATGGGTCTGACTGGTTCTGCTATCATGCCTCCTCGCATGCCATCTTCCCCGTCAACTTCTGTCAGAAGAACAACATCGATCTGACCCCTCCAAAAGGTGAGATTTGGCCTCTGCCCTGTGCTACAAACCTGTATGCAGAATCTGCTGGACTGTGCTTTTCTGAGAGATGTCAGGTTCAGATGAATCAAAACCACAAGGTCCTAATCTGCCTGTTTTTCAGGGAGGTAGGGCTGGTTCAGAGAGCCAGTCCCTTTAAGCTCTGCCCATATACCAAGTCTTGGCACTTTATGGAAGGGAGTAACATCTCCAAAGGGCATTAATGACATGGTGGTTAGCTCCTGGTGGATGTGTGGGAGAGGTGTACAATCCCCAAACTGAACAGAATCAGAAGTTTAAAGGACAAGAAGGGTGGGAAGGGATAAGTAGAGCCATTGCTGCATGACTCAGTACTTAAAAGTGGCACGAGTCACCTCTTCTTCCCATATGAATAAATCTGAGACCAATATTTCTGCAAAATCCTGAGAGGAAATCACCCCAGGAGTGTTTTTACTGCCTCATCTGGCCATATCCGAAAAGGCCTGCTCTGAATTTCTGTGTGGCAGCCCTTTTGCACCGTGCTATTCTGTCTTCCTTTCATGTTCCTGCTGGTGGGAGAAAGATTGGTGTCTTTTGAACATACTTCTTCCTGCCTGCTGCTTCTCCTTGCCTTTCTTTGTAGTCTGGATATGTGACTGACACAGGTGTTCAGAGGTGCAGCTTGCACTTTTCCATATTTGCGTGCTGGAGGGGAGGTGCTGGACTGCCATGGAATCTGTGCACTACATTTATGTCCAAGATTAGGCTGTGTGTGCTGGTTAATGAAACCGCTTTGCAACCAATTGCTATGTCTCCTTCCTGCCTTTTCTCCCAGCTGGTCTGCCCAGTGACTGCCTTTTCCCGGCTGACCATTTCTTCCTACTGCAGGGCAAGATGCACAGAGCTTCAACTGGGAAAGTTACCTGGAAAAGACTAAATCAAGACCAGTTCCAGCACGGCTCTTCAACACAGTGAGTGCTGCCAGGAAGAAGAGATGTTTTGGGATGCTTGCAGTCAGCAAGGAGGAGCACAAGAGCTCTGGCTGTCACAGAATGGTTAGGTAGAAGGGACTTCTGGAGGTCATCTTGTCCAACACCCCTGCTCAAGCAGGGTCACCTAGAGCCGATTGCCCAGGACCACGTCCAGGCGGCTTTAGAATATGTCCATGGATGGAGACTCTACCACCTCCCTGGGCAACCTGTGCCAGTGCTCAGTCACCCTCACAGTAAAATGCATTTCCTGATGTTCAGAGGGAACCTCCTGTGTTTCAGTTTGTGCCCATTGCCTCTGGCTCTGTCCCTGGGCAGCACTGAGAAGAGCCTGGCTCTGTCGTCTTTGTACCCTCCCTGCAGGTATTCACATCCCCCCGAGCCTTCCCTTCTCCAGGCTGAACAGTCCCAGCTCTCTCAGCCTCTCCTCATATAAAAGATGCTCCAGTCTCCTCATCTTCGTGGCCCTTTGCTGGATTCTCTCTAGTGTGTCCCAGTCTCTCTTGTACTGGGGAGCCCAGACCTTGACACAGCACTCCAGGTGTGGCCTCAGCAGTGCTGAGCGGAGGGGCAGGATCACCTCCCATGATCTTGCTGGGAACATTCCTCCTAATGCAGCTGAGGATACCATTTGCTGCCTTTGTCCCCAGGGCACACTGCTGGCTCATGTTCAACTTGGTGCCCACCAGGAACTCCAGGCCCTTTTCTGCCAAGCTGCTTTTCAGCCACTCAGCCCCCAGCTTGTGCTGGTGCCTGGGGTTGTTCCTCCCCAGGTGCAGGACTTTGTATTTCCTTTTGTTGAACTACGTGAGGTTCCTGTCAGACCATTTCTTCAGCTTGTCAAGGTCCATCTGGATAGCAGCACAACCCTCTAGTATATCAGTCTCTTCTGCCAGTTTTGTATCCAGCAAACTTGCTGAGTTTGACATGACAAATTGAACAGGATTGGACCCAGCATTGACCCCTGAGGTACACTGCTAATTACTACCTTCCAACTAGACTTTATGCCATTAATCATCACCCTCTGGGCCCAGCCCCTCAGCCAGTTTTCAGCCCACCTCACTGTCTCCTCACCCAGCCCATACTTCCATCAGCTTCTCTATGAGGATCTTATGGGAGACAGTGTCAAAAACCTTCCTGAAGTCAAGGTAGACAATTTCCAGTGTCTCTGTTGGGCTGCCCTTTGCTGTCAGTCAGCATTTCTAAGGAGAGCCCAAGGCACAGAAGTGTGTAAAGCCCCCGTCTAGCTGGTCAGGACCAGCAGTGTCATGCTTTTGTGGTTATAATGATAGCTTGGTCCCTCTGAGTGTGACCTGTGATTCTCTAGTGTTGCCAAGAGCTCCAGGTTCCTGGTGGGTTCTGCATCACTTACTGCCTGTGGCCATGTGGCTGGCACTTGGGTGGAGGGGGGTCTGTTCTGCATCAGCAAAACTGCTGCATCACCTGGGCCTGTGCTGATCTTTCTGATTTCCCAGGGCTATCTCAGGTTAATGGGTTTGATTGGGTGTCCTTTAACTGCTCCCTGCTGCTCCCCCTAGGTCAGGATCTTGTTTCTAAAGGCTGGGCTGAGGTTCACTAAGGACAAAGCTGGCCTTGGATCTATTAATGTGTGCCCCCTTCTGTTAGGTGACTGGTTGGTTCTGTTGCGTGACTGTGGGCTTGTTCTCCCTCTGCTTGCTTTAAGCTGGAGGCAAGCCTGTAGCTGGTGGCTGCTGGTGGCCAGGTCTGGGTTTGGACTGGGTGCAATGGCCTTGGGTTTTCTTTTTTCATTTTTTCTGCACTCAGGACTGCCCAAACCACGGCTTCAAGGCAGGCATGAAGGTGGAAGCAGTGGACCTGATGGAGCCCCGACTCATCTGCGTGGCCACGGTGAAGCGTGTAGTCCACCGTCTGCTTAGCATCCATTTTGATGGCTGGGACAACGAGTATGACCAGTGGGTGGACTGCGAGTCTCCAGACATTTATCCTGTGGGGTGGTGTGAGCTCACAGGCTACCAGCTTCAACCACCTGTTGTTCCAGGTGAGTGAAGATTTGACTGGTTTCTAATGCTAGAGGAAAAGGTTTCCTTCTTCCTCCTCTGTGAGTGGCTCCTCCTTTTTGGGCCTTGTAGGGAGGAGAAAATTGCCTCCTTGATTTGTGCTGGCTACCATAAGCCTTCCTCTGCTGCCACACATTCTGGCAGCTGGCAGAGGAAGGAGTCTGTGGTGGGGAGAAAACAGCCTGAGATTTGAGGTTGCCTCTGTTTTCCCTCTGTTCCCCCACCTGCACACCAACAGAGAATGGCTCCTGATGAAGTCGGGTAGAGTTCCAGGTGGTCCTAGCCCTGCACAGCTCCCTTTTACTAAGCGTACCTACAACCTCAGCCAGGTAGCAGGGAGGGCTCGGCCCCTGCTCCCTTTTCTCATCAATTCTCTGACTCTGCCTGTAAAAGGTAAGAGCATCCCTCTCGTGAGTTTATTCCTTCCCTTGTTGCAGGGAGGCCACTGCCTCACCTCTGCAGATGTTTTCTGTCGGGTCCCAAGCTCCGAATCTTGTTTCTTTACTGCCCCTGCCAAATCTCTACTGGGCCTCTCTCCCCTGTGCTGCCCCTGCCTGCCACCCTGGGCCCTCGCCTGGAAGCACAGAGAGCGACTGCGCAAGAGCTGTGCTTTCCCCTCAACTGGTTGTCTCGGGGAGAGGGCGTTGGCTCGGGGGGACGGGTATATCTTGTTTCTCGCTTATGTCACTTCATCCCAGTTACCTACTGGTTATGGGACTTGGCTTTCGTTTCCCTCTCGTCTCCATGACAGAGCCCACAACTCCAGTGAAGGCCAAGGAGGTGCCCAAGAAGAAGAAGAAACCCTATGGAAAGAAGAGTGAGTGATGTTTGATTAGTGCCCTCCCGCTCGCTCGCAGGCTGGGCCCAGTTAGAGGAACCCCGTCCGTCTCCCCTCAGAGCAGGAGAGAGAGGCCTTGTCTTGCTGTGGATGCCCTCAGTTAGCTGTGGGTTTGACAACACAGCTTCATCCTTCTTAACTGCCCCCATTGCCTGAGAGAGCAGAGAGCTCTGTCTGTGGGAAGGATCTGTTTTGCAGTCTGTTTTCTGTTGGCCAAGGTATAGATGGCGCTTGCTTCCAGGCGTGAGGTTGTGCTGCTTTCCCCGCTGTGTCTGTGGTCAGAGGGAAATCATTTGCTGCAGCTGGAGGGTAGCTGGAGAGCAACCCTGCCTGGCTTTGTGCTGCGGGAAAGAAGGCCTTAAGATGGCTGAAGAGGCCAGTAGTGGGGCTGGACCGTGTTATTGTTTCATCTTGTCGTTGTTGTCGTCATTGTTGCAATAGCTGTGGCAAATCATGTGTAGAAAGGCAAGAAATTCCTTCCTGGGGGGTGGAGAGGAAAGGACATCTAAAGAATATAAAGACATTCAACCTAAATAAAAACGTCAGCTAAAAATTAAAACATTAATGCTACCGTGCCCATGCCTTGGACCCACCATGCCCATTGCCTAGGACTAGGCCCAGACAGGTAAGCAAAGCTGACTCTAGACTGATTCCAACAGGACCCGCTCCTTGGAAGTTAAGCATACACTGAAGTGCCTTGCCTTTAATGAAGGAGAACACGGAGGAGCGTATTTTGAGATGATGACTATAGAGTTTTTCTCCAGTAGGCCATTTCTATTGAGTAACCAGTTGGCCGCTAATGACCATGTAGCTTGCTGGTCAGTTGTGCTGGTCCCTGGCCTGTGGTTTCTCAGTGGAGCAGGGTTGCTGATTGTCCAAGGGAAAAGAAACACGCTTTTCCCCATGCTCTGTTATCTCTTTGTTAAGGAAAAAAGTTACCTGCCAAAACACACAACATCAAGCAGACTGTCAAGAAGCCTTCCACACAGAAGACGAAACGAGAAGCAAAAGCTGCCAGCAAGGCTTTGCCAGAGCCAGCACCTGATGAGAGTAAGGGAGTGATTTCCTCTACCCAGCATCTCTCTCGCGTACGCCCTGCATGCCACCAGCCCTCACAAGGGCTGCGCTGCCTCTTGGCCGTTATGTCACGTGTGCTCCCAGGCAGGGAAAGGCTGTATGTGACAAATGTCCTTCCCCACTCCTCCAGAGACAGAGTGAGTGGAAGATCAGCCTTTGCTGGCTTTCCCTGGGAAGTTTTGCCTCCTGAGGAGGTTTGGTGACACTGGTGTAGCTGGATATGTTGATGCTGCTGATGCCTGCTGAGGGCCAGGCTGCCCTACTGAGCAGTCTGGTTGTGTGAGGTCACTTAGGGAGGAGAGTCAAGACAGATGTGTCAAAAGTGTGCTGTCACATCCCAGTCCCCTTAAGGGCTGTCACAGCATGTGAACACAGCCCATCGTGCTGAACACCAAGAGATGTGACCAGAAGAGCATCAGGCAGCTGGGTCATCTTCCAACCCTAGTGTTGGGGAAGAGGGTGATCAAGGTGCATTGTGCACGTGGGGATGGAGCCTCATGCAGGTCCCCATTGTTCACAAAGGTTTTAATTTCCCCTGTGTGGACCCAGGCAGGCAGAGAATGGACCATGCTGGCTTTTCCACCCTCGACCCTATGAGAGGTTGTTCTTGGGAGTAGGCAGCTGAATGCTGCCAGCATTTAGTCCCATCCTGATTGCTGCTGTGACCATGGATAGATTTGTGCCAGCAAGACAGGGCTGCCTGTGGTAAGGGACCCTCAAGAAGTGGGCGGGAAACCTGGGGCGTTTTGAGTGTTTGGGTGAACAGAGCTGGTTCTGGGGTGCTGCAGGTAGAGCAAGGCAGTGTGAGTTGATTTTACACATTTATTTTTCCCTCTCTCTTCCTGTCTCTTGCTAGTCATTGCCGTGCAGGTAAAGGAAGAAACCATCGACCCCTCGATAGAGTTTGGAGCCACAGAGCTTCCCATTCCTGTCAGCAGCATAAAGCAGGAGGTCACAGACTGATCCTGGAGTATCCCCCAGCTGCCCGCAGCATCCTGTGCTTCACCTTGTGGCTCTTTGGGGAAGGTCCTGGCAAAGGGAAGCAGAAGACTAAAAGAGCCTTCCCTTTTTGAGGCAGGCAGACCACCCTGCAACATCACAACTCTGCTTTCCTGGCATGCAAGAAAATTTCCCCCAGACTTGTCATTTTAAGTCCTGGGAAATGGACTCCAGAAAGGGCAGAGGCGTGACCAGGATGACCGCTGTGCGCACCTGGCCTTGAAGGCACCTTTCTGAGCAGGAGCTCCCAGCGGGGAAAGAGGCTGCCAGAGCACGAAGGGGCAAAATTTGGGTTCTCAACTGTGGCTGGAGATGGTGAGCTGCAGTCTGAGATGATGCGTGCAGGTCACATGCATCAGGAAATCAGCTGCCCTTGTAGGACATCAGTGCTATGCTCCCTGGTCTAGACCCTGCAACCCCCCAGAAAGTCAGGAAGAGTAGAAAGAGGTGGGGAAAAAAAACAAACCAAAAAGGAATGATGATGCCTCTTGAGGGTGCGAGAGACCTTTTTGAGTGTCATCACTTCTTGCTTTTGAACCCAGAACTGCAGAGGACATGGTGCACAGTTTGAATTTTTAATTTTTTTAGCAGTCCTATTGTAAATTTGATCTACAATCTGTACCCTAAAGCCCTGTGAATTAAACTTGAGGAAGAGGCTGAAGGCTTGTGAATTGTTATGGTGACCCGGAAAACCCCAGGGTTAGCCAAGATGGGGAGAAGAAAAGGGCTGTAAGTGGGTGGGCATAAGTAAACAGTGTTTTGTATTGGGGGATTCTTTATTTTTGAGGTGTGCAATAGGCTTTTTCTGTGCACTTGCCCCTGTCTATTTGCCAGTTCTGCTGAGTACCACACTAACGCAACAGATAACTTAACTTAAGGTGGGGGATGCCATTTCCCCTTTTGGAGCAAAACTGTCACATTCCTCTCTTTCCCCAGACTGGCTATCAAAATTCAGGACAGAAATCAGAAAGGTCAGTGTGGCAATGGCGATGAAAACCAGTTTTAAATCTTCTGTAGCAAGTTCCTGTGAACTTTCTGCAGGCAAGGATGTGCCTTGCCTGCTGGTGCCGCTCCAGGGCCTGGCCGGCTGTAGGGCAAGTGCCCTGTCAGACCTACAGGGAAATGGTGGCTGCCCAGGACACCGCCTGGGCCACGAAATGGCTGCCTTGGCCATGTTCCCCTCAAGAGCTTGTGATGCCAAAATAGTTCCCACTTTGCACAGTGGTTCATGACCACAAAAAAAAAAAAAAAAAAAAAAAAAATGTTGGCAAGCTAACTAACCACGTGGGCCACCCTGGGAAAGGTGCTGGTGTGTCCAGCATGGGGTGAGCAGGGCAGAGGGGTGTGGGGGATTTTTATGAAAGGCCGGTAAGGGGGCTTCCCTGCCCACCTGCCCCCCCTGGCTTGCCCCTCCCAGCAGCGCTGCCCATACACCAGCTTGCCACGGATGTCCAAGTGCTGGGGGGACGATCCCATCCCTCTCCGGGCAAAGCCCTTGGCTTTCTCCTTCCCCTCCCTCTTGGGCTGCCACCTTCCCCCAGCCTTGTCAAACAGCTGGGCTTGTAGGGCCACCTGTCTTTAGAGGATGGTAATTCCCAAATTTGTTTTTTTTCTGTAACAGTTCCATGCCCCACATGGTCATTTAGCAGCCAGAAGCATTTACCTTTTAAAGCCTTCCCAACTCAAACCAACCTCTGACTATAAAAAGACTAATCGCCTTGTGTTCCCCCTGGGGCTAGGGGGGGCCCAACCTGGGCTGCCATGGGGAATAGGTTGGGTACGTCACTTATGAGTGGGATGTGGGATCAAGTTTTGCAGGAAACAGAAAGCTTTTGATTGCTTACATTTTAATTCTGAGGAGCTGCTGGGCATTTGGGCAATGTTTTCACTGATGATAATTTTTAAGTTTCCTGCTCTTAAGATATGAGCCAGTGCAGGATCTTGCGTGGGTGCTGTTTGCAGTCCTGCGCCGCGCTCTTAAAAACAAAACCAAACTTGTGGATTCCAGCTTTTCTGCGTGGCTGAAGAGAACCGTGGGAAGAAAAAGGCAAGTATTTGCCTTTGTTGTTCGAGTCATCAAAGTGCGCTGCAAACTCTACGGAAGCTTTTTGTGCTAGTTCTTTCCAGGGTAATGCGCCTTTGTGCCCTGCAAAAACAAATGCAGCATCTTTGGCAAATTGGCATCGCTCCGGTGGCACCAGGCGCTCTCCTTTGCACCTTGTGCAATATCCATGTCACCGTGGTGGCGACAAATCCAGCAAAACTCTCTCACCAGTTGCATCCTCCACCTCCTTCCTAAGCTCTGCTCTTCTTGAAGCCTCTGGCTGGTGATTTTCCCGATCTCTTTTTCTTGCTGAGCTTGCTCACAGCCTTGGTCTTATCAGGACTGGCTCCCCCAGCCTTGCCTCGGCCCCAGTCAGGGCAGGTTTGGAAAGTGGTGGAAAGCTTCACCTTCAAGCCCCGGGCTTCTGCAGGGGACCCACAGGTGGCCCCTACACGGAGGTTGAGTTTGTCGATCCACCTGGAGATGTGGCAGGAGATCAGGGAAAGGAATGGGAGGGGGGGAAGGGAGAGGCAAAACTCTGTGCCCATGGGTGGGTGCGGGCCGCTTCAAAACCAGGCCAGGTTGCTCAGGGCCTCGCCTGGGGGAGCTGTGAATACCTGAGCATCTGCCTGCCCCAGCCTGTGGCTGGGTT